CTTTTTCCAGGTGGAGTCACAGTTCATCAGTAGCTGCTTAGAGTTCAGTCTGACTCGCTGTGATGTCATTGTTTCAGCGATGACACGTGAGACCAAGATGCATGATGGGAAACACCTGATGCAGCTGGTCTAACAGCTGATTGGTTCAGATGCTGAAGGTTAGTTGCGTGGCTGATGTTCATTTATAATGTTTAGTTCTGTTCAGCATGAACCCTGGAAGGAGCCTAAAATCAAACCTGTCCAGGTGTTCCAGCCTGACCAGGGCGCTGACCAGAAATAAAGCTGCTGCTCTGTGATTGGCTGTTCGTCGGAGGGCCGTAGTTTAACAGGTTTCTCAGATCAGCTGTGCAGCATCTTAATATTCTGTCAGACTTCAACCCATCACAGACCGAGAACCACCTCTAAGAACAACTCCGCCCCACCAGTCACATGACCAAAACACCTGCAGCTCATCACTTCCTGCTTGTTCTGACCTACAACAGCAGCAGGTACGTCCACCTGGAAAGAGTTCCGATCAGCAGCAGGTAACAGGCGACAGGTTCAGTCAGAACAGGAACCCACAGTGTTCTGGTTCTACGACACCAGAGTCAGACCCAGTCGGACAGAAATCTAACCAGCTGCACTGCCATCGAATCTGCATCACAAACTGAAGCCAAACTTTATTTCTGTTTTCTCATTGGTCGTTTCCGTCTCTGAAAGGCGGAGCTTCCCAAACTCCTGAACCCTAACCACCAATCACAGCAGAGCGTCCAAACACCCGATTGGCTCGTTGGAGATGATCAGAAATGCCTGGTTCATTCCGTTTGAGCAGCGACCAGTCAGAACGTCAGAACTGACGTGATGAGTAATGAAACGGTGAAGGACGTCCTGTCAAACATCTGGACTCCAATCACTTCACCAATCACAATCTGAACGTTCAGGCTGTCTGCAGGTGCAGCTTACCTGAGCAGTCTGAACCACGTGACCTACCGTCACCACCACGAAGCTGTTCCGCAAGTTTCGGACGTCACGTGGGAGCGTGACGTGCGTCGTAACAACAAACAGTTGGACTGTTGAACGTGAGAACCTCAAACTCCGACAAAGCAGAGCAGTTACCTGCCGAGGCTCCTCACGGATCCTCTGAACGTCCGTACGGCCGCCGCCATGTTGTTTGCGGAAATGACGTAAGACGCCCTGCGTCTGTCACGTATAACCGTCAGCCCTCCACTGCCTCCTTGGGATTGGCTGAAGGGTCTCCACTGCAGCAGCTGATTGGTCAAACTGAACTGGGCCCTGAGGGGACAGGATAGTGTGATGTTTACAGTAAACAGCAGCAGCGGTCCATATGATCCCATGTCACAGTAATCCGATTACTCCTACAGCAGAGTACTGTCTCTTATATCAGATTACAAACTACCAGCTCAGATCCACAGATTACCTTCAGGTTCAGCAGCAGGAACTGAACCAAAGTGAGTCCATCTCTGGTTCCTTCAGTCTTTATCTGCTGACAGACTCCTCAGCATGGAGGAGACCAGAGTCCACTAGGTTCNTATCTGCTGACAGACTCCTCAGCATGGAGGAGACCGGAGTCCACTAGGTTCTGCTCACGTGTTCTGATGGAGGAGACCGGAGTCCACTAAGTTCTGCTCTCTGCTGGAGGGGTTGTGCTGCTCTACCTTTCTGGTGAACTTTGACGTGGAAGTTTAGCTGTGAGCAGCAGCCAGGTTTAGTTCTGGTCCTCCGTCCATAGAGGCTGATGTCCTTCTGGACCTCCTGGTTCCTGCTCACACTGGGCTGCACTGGGTTCTAGCTGCTCACTGATCTTCTGGATCCTTTTCCATCTTCGTCCAGTCTCTCAGTCAGATGTTTCTCCTCCTCTGTTCAGGTCTTCTCCATGTGGAGCCATGATGCAGACATAGATAGACACAGTCCAGAGGTCCAGAACTGAGAAGGTTCTGCTGTTCTCATCTCATTGTACAACCATGTTCATGCAGGTAGACTGATGGAAACCACAGCTGGACCTAGTTTAGTTGTTTATAGACAAATAAATTCAGAGTCTATGTGAGCAGAAACTTTATTTGTTCAAAAATAGACACATTCTTATCAGAAAAATATATTACAGTCTAAAACCGCCCCGGGCCAGCAGTACTACTCAGTACTGGCAGAGTACTACAGAGACAGTTGTGTGATGTGTGTGTGTGTGTGAGTGTGTGTGTGTGTGTGTGTGTGTGTGTGTGTTGGACTAAAGTAAAAACTGTCCCAGAAGGGCGTGGCCTTATATAAGAGGTGTGGCCTCGTGCAGGGGGCGTGGTCTGTAAACAGCATTAAAATATTAAATATTCCAGAAGTTTCACATTTCACCATCCAACACTGTAAAAAATTAAAAACATCACATACACTGCAAAAAAAAGTAAACCCTACACACGCAGTCACCGTGGTAACAGCGATTAGCAGCCATGCTAGCAGCTCTGTTCATTTGGCCTTCAGTCAGCTGACAGGAAGTGATGTCACACCTCCAGGCCCTGTCGTGTCAGAAAGTCTTCGAGCGCGCTCAGTCGCTCCACCAGCATCACGTCCAGGTCCACGTCATCAGCGTCACCGTGGCAATGACGTCGGGCCGCAGCCCGTTTCCTCGGCGCCATGGCAACAGGAAGTCCCACCCCTAAACATAAACACAAAATACATGAACATTAGCAAACGCAGCCGTCTCCCCCCCTGAACAACATTTCCCAGTTTACCTTGTGGCCTCTTCCTCTTTCTGGGCTGAGTGAAGTCAGGGAAGAGGAGGAGCCGGCGCCTTCTCTGCTGACCAATCAGGAGCAGCCCGCCGTCCTTCTCCCGCGGCTCCTCGAAGATCGTCTCCAGACTCCTGCAGAACAACAGCAAAGCATGATGGGACATGGAGTCTGTTGGTCAGTATTCACCTGTTTGGGGAGAGGTCAGTATTTACCTGTTTGGGGAGGGGTCAGTATTTACCTGCTTGGGGAAGGGGTCAGTATTCACCTGTTGGGGAGGGGTCAGTATTCACCTGTTTGGGGGAGAGGTCAGTATTCGCCTGTTGGGGAGGGGTCAGTATTTGCCTGTTTGGGGGAGGGGTCAGTATTCACCTGTTGGGGAGGTGTCAGTATTCACCTGTTTGGGGGAGGGGTCAGTATTCACCTGTTGGGGAGGGGTCAGTATTTACCTGTTTGGGGAGGGGTCAGTATTCACCTGTTTGTGGGAGGGGTCAGTATTC